TCAAAAAAGGAATATCTGAAAAGTATATATATATATATATATATATATATATATATATATATATATATATATATATAAAAGAGAGAGAGATGCGGGGATGAAGGCGTATTTAGACGTATTTATTTTAAATAAACCCGCCAGTAACTGGCGAACTTCGTCTTAACGAAGAGTCTTGCATCAGCAGCAGTAATAGTCACTGTTTCCAAATTCAGTTTTTTCCCGAGAGCTCAACCGAAATATGTTTTTATTCAGGACAAGTATATATTGTCATCCACGGTTCATCAGTGTGGCAAGAAATTCGATTGCCTCAAGCAGGGATTGAGACCCGACTGATCTGATATCAGTCGGAAATTCTGCCCATAATCCATTGGCGCACAGCACGTACGAAGCCGAATTTGGGCGTAGTTATTATTAGATAACACACCAGTGACTGGAGAACTCGATTCCTCTTAACGAAGAGTCTCACACACACACACACACACACACACACACACACATATATATATATATATATATATATATGAGCGGATATTGTATTCAACACCCGAAGGCGACAGACACCCGACCCCGTTTTATACGAGGTCTACGGGAATTTTTGGCTTAGCCTACGGCTCGGGTGCTCCCCAGATTTGTGCCACATCTGATCGCGTGGGGAAGTTACACTAGCTGAAATCTTTTTAAGCTGTGCTGGTCGAACTCTCTGCCTTCGGGCAGAGTGGACGCCGGACGAGCCTATGCCGAAAGGCAGGGTCTCGTTCGGGGAGATAGACTGACTCAATCCCGTTTATGCGGGATCTACGGAGATTTTTTGGAAGAGCCTACGAGCTCGGGAACCTCACATTATATTCTGCCTTGTGCCACATGTCACTGTCTTGGGTAGCTGCTAGATACCGTCTACCTGAAATTTTTTTCATTTGTGCTGGTCGAAGTCTCTGCCTCTAAGCAGAGAGGATACCGAGACTAAGCTATGCCGAAGAGCAGATTCGCTTCTCAGGTCTACGGGAATTTTTGACTGAGACTACGTACTCGGATGCCCCACATTAAACCCGGCCTTGTGCCACATCTAATCGCGTGGAGAGGTTAGTAAATATACTATCTGGAATCTTTTCCGGCTGTCCTGGTCGAACTCTGCCTTCAGGCAGAGAGGAACTCGGACGAGGCTATGCCGAAGGGCAGGGTCTCGTCTGGGGAGATAGACAGACCCGAACCCGTTCATGCCGGGTGTACGGTGAATGTTTGGCCGAGCCTACGAGCTCGGAATGCCACACATGAAATTTGGCCTTGTGCCACATCCTACCTCGTGGGGAGGCTGGTAAATATTTTTAGCTGGTATCTGTTACTCAGCTCTTAACTGTTGTCGATCTCTCTACCTTTGGGCAGAGAGGAAGCTGCACGAGGCTCTGCCGAACGGCAGCGTCTCGTCCAAGGATTAGACAGACACAAACCAACTAGTTTATGCGGGGTTATGGGGAGTTTTTGGCCGAGACTACTGGCTTAAATTGCCCCACATTAAATTCGGCCTTGTGCCACGTTCTTCCCCGCGGGGAGGCTGGTAAATATTTCTAGCTGGGATCTGTCTTGTACGACTCAGACTTACGCGAGAACTACCGACCTTCCAATAGTAGCACTCACTACTGGATTGACTTGCGATGGCCTTGTGCATAACTGTTAACTTTATTCTTATTGGACTGTTTTTTACAATAAACCTTTAATTAATTTATCCACCGTGTTTGCCAAATATATATTCCTATTAGCACTGAATATAATATTTAGAATTCTTCAAATAACTGATTTTTCATAATATGACAGTATAAAGTATTCAAATTCAGATATTGTTAATTCTGAGGATCTTTCTTATCAATGTTTTACTGGTGCAATTTATTTTTGCACTTATTGTTATATGCATTTATGTTTGATCATAACAAGTGAATCGGAAGCGAAACTTTTTAACAGCTTCTCGCATACATGCATGTCTGGATCAGTTATTTTTAATGTGCTCAAATTCGTGTAAGTGTTGGATTCAAGAATTAAATTTACTTTGCAATGGATGAAATTCGTTTTCTTCCGACTAAATTATTTATTGCTTTCATGAATTGAGAATTATATGATCTGTAGCTAAACTATTGATTATATTTCAAATTTTCTTGTATTGACCATGATGATTCCAACACCCAGAATTCATTTCTACTGCAAATCAGTATTCATTCATCCGCATTATAACTAATTCTGTTTTCTCTTGTTCAATACATTGCTCAAAATAAATCAATACTGAATATATTAATCAATATATCATATGTGTTGTATTTCCTGCAAGCGTTACTCAGTGGTAGATGGTAAGACAACAGCTTATTTAGAAGAGGACAATTTCAATCATATTCAGAAATAATTGGGGTTTCTACAATCAATTATAGAAACACATGATTTTGATGAAAACCACGATAAAGTCTCTAGAATTAAATCGCATTAAAATTATAATATTATGAGTATTTATTTTGATAATAAATAATCATACATCTACTAGGAAAATGATAATAGGTTGCTCGGAGAATAATGTTCGATTTCAGAATCAACTTTGAATCCTGAATTAATGTATAAAGATAAAGTTTAAATCAGTCAAATAGGAAACATGGATCTATATAAGGTTACGTATCCCATTCCGAAAAAACTGTAACGGTTTGGACGTCAAGAATCATTGATTGCAGTTAGTGCATCTTTTTTGTAACGGAATGTCTTTTTTTAATTTAAAAAATGAAAAATCCTCCTTAATGTATTTTTCAGCTTTAATTCAAAGCTAAAGGGATAAATGTACTATACTGAGTAAGCAAAATTTACTTCAGTGTATTTAAAACCGAATTTATACAGATTGTATAAGTCTTATATTTTGTTTTCAGTAAAATCGGTTAGGTGTGAAATTTGGAGACATTTGTAAACAAAAGTTAAATTCTCCGATTTAAAATTCTTGTAAAAATAAAATAGACATTTTCGAAGGTTATTTGAATTACAAAATATAAAGTCTACTACTAAATCTAATTTGAGACAAACGGTACTTATACTTTTATCAAAAACAAAATAAAACGTAGTAAAATATAAGAAAAAACATTTTTTTTTAAGTGCGGAAACTCGTTTGTCATGTGGTGATTGATGTTATTAAGAGCTGAGGCTAGAAGTCATCGGATGGATTTCAAGTATGAACATCCGTATCTACAAAAAAGGCATGTCTATACACATCCAGAATCAATGCAAAATTCTTTTTTTTAAATACTGGTCATTTGCAGATGGTAATACGCTTTTAGATTTATGATTAGAAAAATTAGTTTTATTTAATAACAGTACATTGAAATTGAATTTTAAAATATTTAACAACATGAATTATTGCATATTAAAACTGTAAAAAATAAAAACAATTCATGTAAAAATTAATTTTTTATCGGAAATTATTATTTTTTGCTCCAGACAATAGTATCCTTAACATATATTATTCATAAAACCAATTGAAAACTCTTGTAATTTAATAATATTTTATTGGGTTTTTGTATATGGCAATTCAGAGCTGTTAATTTTCCGTTGTTTGTTTTTCTTATTATTCTTGTTTATTTTTTTATTTGTGTTTTATTTGGTTTTTATTATACTTTACTTTTTATTAATTTGTTTTATTTTGTTTTGTTTTTAATCATGCTTTTAATTATTTTATTTTAATGGTCTCGGACAAAAAAGTGGTTCTTGCTTACTCTTCTTCACCCATTTTTCTTTTAATAAAAGACGTGTCCCCAGTCGTGGTACAAAATCATACAGACATACACATACAATCTTTCTTATATATATATATATATATATATATATATATATATATATATATATATATATATATATATCAGCCATACCCAGCAGTTCCATCAGAAAAAAACGTTCAATTAGAATGGAGCAAAAACAGCGTCATATTAAGACAGAGTCTATCTTCTTCAATTACTTTAAAGTACTTTCATTAAAAACATTTTGAATTAATGTAGTTACTGGTATAACAGAAGTAGTCACTAATTATTAAGTCGAAGTTAGCCGAGGACATGTAGGGGTTAAACCGGCAACAGGAAGGCACATTTCAGACCACAATTATTTTGAAGTTTTTGAAATTCATTTTGTCAGTGTGATACTAAGGATGTAAAAGTGGATACATTTATGAAGCAATTGTTAAGTTTGATGAAAATTCGGTGAAAGATCAACGAGAAATAAGAAAGAAACCAGTAAAAATCGTCATTTTTCGCTATTTACGTGGGTTTTCACTCTGTGGGTGAACTCAATTATCAAATTAAATGACTGTTAAACAATCAAGGTATGGTTGGTTACAATTGAGTAAAGTTTGTATTGGATTGCTTGAGAATTGAGGGAGTTTTAGGTTTAAAATTTGTCTTGAAATCGAATTGTGTTAAAAACGATTTTTCGTTTTTCGTGGTTTTTCGTTAAATCCAGTGGCGTAGAAATAAATACGGTAACGTTGAGCTCGTCATGATGTAAGTAACCTGCACACCGAGTTTGAACGACATCGGAGGTAAAAATTATTTTATCAAATTTATATCGGCTTTATCGATTATTTCTTTTTTTAAATTGTTGATTTTTTTTTAGTTTAAGAACCTATCTCGTACATAGTACAATGTATATGCCAACTTTGGTGAAAATCGGTTGGATGGATCTCGAGTGAACAGGTATCACATAGACAGAAACACAGACATCCTCTATTATATATATATATATATATATATATATATAGATAGATAGATAGATAGATAGATAGATAAAGAAAAACTGACTGCATAAAATGTCTCTATTTGCTACTGCAGTCAGTACTCTACTGAGGGAATGATGATTTGGTGATTTCTAGGCGCAACCGTTAAAATAATGGACCGCTGGTCGACTGGCCCTACTGCAGAGTGATGATTTAAGAATTGTAGAGACAACGGCTAAACTCGAGCTTTCCTCAATTATTCAGTCATATGGGTGTTCGCTCA